AATTTGATCCCTATCTCTCACCTTGTATCAAAAACAAATCAAAATGGATTAAAGACTTAAGTCTAATACCTCAAAGTATAAAACTACTAAAAGAAAACATTGATGAAAATCTCCAGGACACTGGTCTGCACAAAAATTTCTTAAAACACAGGCAACCAAAGCAAAAAATGGACAAATAAGATGACATCAAGTTAAAAAGTTTCTGCACAGCAAAGGAAACAATCAACAAAGTGAAGAGACAAGTCACAGAATGGGAGGAAGTATTTGCAAACTACTCATCTGACAAGGGATTAATAACCAGAATATACAAGGAATTCAAACAACTCTATAGGAAACAATCTGATAATCCAGTTTTTAAAATGGGCTAAAGATTTGAATAGACCTTTTGATAAAAAAGACATACAAATGGCAAACAGGCATATGAAAAAAGTGCTCAACATCACTGATCACAAGAGAAATGCAAATTAAAACTACAATGAGGTATCGTCTCACCCCAGTTAAAATGACTTTTATCCACAAGTCAGGCAGTAACAAATGCTACTGAGGATGTGGAAAAAAAGGAGGAAATGGGGATGATTAATGAGTACAAAAAAAAACCAGAATGACGAAGACCTAGTATTTGGTAGCACAACAGGGGCACTGTAGTCAATAATAATTTACTTGTCCATTCTGAAATAACTAAAAGAGTACAACTGGATTTTTTGTAACACAAAGGACCAATAATAATTGTCCATTTTGAAATAACTAAGTACAATTGGATTTTCTGTAACACAAAGGATAAAGGCTTGAATGCCTGAATGTCCATTCTGAAATAACGTGGGTATCCAATTTTCCATGATGCAATTATTAAGCATTGCATGTCTGTACCAAAATATCTCATATACTCCATAAATACATAAACTATGTACCCACAAAAATTAAAAAATAAATTAATAAGGCCGGGCCTGGTGGCTCACGCCTGTTAATCCCAGCACTTTGGGAGGTCAACATGGGTGCATCACCTGAGGTCAGGAGTTCGAGACCAGCCTGGCCAACAAGGTGAAACCGCATGTCTACTAAAAATATAAAAATTAGCCAGGCGTGGTAGCAGGCACTTGTAATCCCAGCTACTCGGGAGGCTGAGGCAGGAGAATCGCTTGAACCCGGGTGGTGGAGGTTGCAGTGACCCAAGATTGCACCATTGCACTCCAGCCTGGGTGACAAGAGCAAAACTCCATCTCAAATAAAAAAATAGAAAATAAAAAAAGAATGCTATGGTCAAATGGCATAAGAATAAAATGCCATTTCTTGTTTTGTACCCTAAAAAAATGTAAAAATCCATCAAGTTGTATGTGTGTATATTTTTTAAAACTGATGTGTACGTGTATACCACAATATATTTCAATTTTTTTAAAATTTTAGAACCTCAAAAAAATATTTTTTCAGACAAATAAAATCAGAAAATTTGTCATCAGCAGACTTACATTGAAGAAATACTAAAGCGGGCCAGGCACAGTGCCTCACAACTGTAATCCCAGCACTTTGGGAGGCTGAGGCAGGAGCACTGCTTGAGCCTTGGAGTTTGAAACCAGCCTGGGCAATGTAGTAAAACCCCATCACTACAAGAAAATTTACAAATTAGCCAAGCATGCTGGTGCACATCTATAGTCTTAGCTACCCAGGATGCTGAGGTAGGAGGATCACTTGGGCCCAGGAATTCAAGGCTGCAGTGAGCTACCATCATACCACTGCACTGCAGCCAGAGAGACAAAGCAAAACTTTGTCTCTAAATATAAAACAGAAATATTAAAGGGAATGTTTAAGTCAAAAGGAAAATGATCCCAAAGGGAAGTACATGAATGTGAAGAGCAGAGAAAATATAAGTATGTGAGTAAACCTACATAAATAGGTACTATATATATATTGGGGTTTCAAATATATATGGAACTAAAATACATGACAGCAATGACCAAAAAAAAAAAGGTAGAAATTGGGTAAATGGGAATTGGCAAAATATAAATTTACCAAGGATACATGTGGTAATCACCAGGGGAACCCATAAAAGAAGATAAAATTGGGAGGTATAATTTAAAATATTCCATTAATCCAAGAAAAAGCAAGAAATGAGAGAAAAATAACACAAAATGAGCAAAACAAATATAAAACAAAAACCTAATTATATTCTACTGAACAGGAAACATACCACATGTTTATAGAAAGCTAAAACTAAAAGGACAGAATAAGATATTTAATGAAAATACTAATAAAAACGAGTTGGAGTAGTTCTACTAATATCAGATTAAGGAAAATTTAAATCAAAAAACACTAGAGATAATGGGAACATTCCATAATGATGAATGAGTTAATCACCAGGAAGATATAATAACTGTACATATGTTATCAGCAAAAACTGAAAGAAATGAAGAAATCTTCTCTCAGGAAATGATAGATCAAACTGAAAAAAAACAGAAAGTAAGGATGTTGAAGATTTAAACAAGATTTTGAACTTGACCTAAGTGATATTTATAGAACACTGCACAGCAAATTTCAAAGGATTCCAATCACATAGAGTATGTGTTCCAACCACTTTTAAATTACATTATAATAATAACTCAATAAAAAAACAAACTAGAAAATTTTCTAAATTTTAGAAATTTTTTTAAAGGACTTTAAATTCATAGATCAAAAAATAGAGATTTAAAATCACACTGTATTTTAAGCAAAAAATATATACATATATATGACATATCAAAATATGTCTGCTATAGCTAAAAATATATAGCCTTAACCACAGATTTGAAAAGAAGGGCTAGATATCAATGCTATTTCAAAAAATCAGAAAAACAATAGCAAGTTAAAACCAAAGAAAATATTATAAAGTGCAGAAATTAAAGAACCAGAAAACAAATCTACAATAACAAAATTCAAAAGGCCAAAAGTTAATTCACGGAAAAGATAATAAACTGATAAACCCCTAGCAAGAAAAGTTTTAAGACAGAAATGATCAATACAATAATAAGTTTTAAAACTTAGATGAAATGGATAAACCTAGCAAAACCTAGCAAAACTAATACATATATACAAGTCATTTTATTTCCATTAAAGAAATTAAACATATTATTTAAAACTTTTTCACTAGCAACCTCTGGTCTCAGAGGCTTCACCAGTTAAGTCTTGTAAGCATATGAGGAAAAAAATAACAACAATCTTCACTAACTCTTCTGGAGAGCAGTAAAGGGGGGAACATTTCCCTCTTCTTGTAAGACCAGCAAAACCAAGATACCAAAATCTGATCAGAACATTCAAAGTAGGAAAATTACAGGCCAATTTATCTTAAGAACATAGGTGCAAAGATCGTAACAACACAGAAAAAGCACATGAAGTCCATTGGTACATACAAAGGGGTAACATATCAGAAGCCAATTGGGCTTATTTTAGGAATGCAAAGATTGTTTAACATGTGAAAATATAACAGCATAATTCAACACATTAATAAAGTAAAGGAGAAAAACCATGAATGTCCCAAAAGATGCAGACAAAGTATTAATAAAATTCAACAAAATTCATAATTTGAAAAGTATAACAAGGTATAAGATCAATAAAATTAAATTATACTTCTAACTACTACCAAGAAAACAATTAGGAAATGAAATTTCACAAACAATTCTAATTAAAATAATATCAAGAATATCACATATCCAGGAATAAATCTGCTGAAAGATGTGGAGGTCTTCTATACTGAATGAACACTACCAAACAGTATTGAGAGAAATTTATAAAGCCCTAAATAAATGGAAGAATATACCATGTCTATGGATTAGCTAATTCAGTAGTATTGTTAAGATGCCAATTAACTGCAAACTGATCTCCAGTTTCAATACAAACTTAACCCAAATTCCTGGAAAAGACAGACAGAGTGAGTGTGTGTGTGTGTGTGCGCGCGCGTACGTGTATGTGTATTTTTTTTTTTTTTTTGAGACGGGGTCTTTGCTCTGTCACCCAGGCAGGAGTGCAGTGGCCGGATCTCAGCTCACTGCAAGCTCCGCCTCCCAGGTTCACGCCATTTTCCTGCCTCAGCCTCCCGTGTAGCTGGAACTACCTGCGCCCGCCACCTCGCCCGCCACCTCGCCCGGCTAGTTTTTTGTATTTTTTAGTAGAGACGGGGTTTCACCTTGTTAGCCAGGATGGTATCCATCTCCTGACCTCGTGATCCGCCCGTCTTGGCCTCCCAAGGTGCTGGGATTACAAGCTTGAGCCACCGTGCCCAGTCGTGTATGTGTATCTCTACGAGTGAGTAGAAACTGAAAAACTGATTCTAAAATACTATGAAAATATCCTCTGGGAGGCCAAGGCAGGCAGATCACATGAAGTCAGGAATTCAAGACCAGCCTGACCAACACAGCGAAACCCCGACTTGACTAAAAATACAAAAATTAGCTGGGCCTGATGGCGGATGCCTATAATCCCAGCTACTCAGGAGGCTAAGGCAGGAGAATCACTCGAAGCCGGGAGGTGCAGGTTGCAGTGAGCCGAGATCACGCCAGTGCACTCCAGCCTGGGCAACAGAGGGAGACTCCATCTCAAAAATAAACACATACATACATACACAAAATAAAATACTATGAAAATATCAGGGGAGGAGAGATGGGAGAGGGGTAGAAAAAGGAAGTCGGAGTTATATACACTACCAGGTATCAAGATTCCTTATATACTAGAATAAGACAAATAAATAGACCAACAGAACGAAAGAGTCTAGAAACACACTCATATTCACATTGACATATGAAGTACATATGAAAACATGATCTTAAAAAAAAATTCCAAGTAGAAATATTTCATTCAACACTTTATTTTCTGAGCAATTGTATCAATCACAACAGCACAATCAATCACATCAATCACAACTTAACACATATTGTTTAACAAGTAACAAGTAACAATACTTGTTAAATTCTCTCACAACTGTGTTCAACAGCTACCAAAACAATTAGCAGACCTTCTATCAAATCTTAATCTCTTACCTCCCCAAAAGCTCCTCGACCAATCACTTTTAATATTTCAAAGTCTTCTCTATGTAATCGCATTTGTTTCACTTTAGAAGTAAATGGTTTAGCTGAAATGAAAGAGCAATATCAATTATTTTCTTAATAAAATGTGATGCAAATTAGATATAAATAATGGTGTTTCTTAAGTCACACAAAAATTCAAATTATGATTTAAGAATTGTCAAAATATTTAAAAATTCCAAACTATACGAGAATAAACAAATTTGATTTCCCTAAGAAAACAATATATTTTCTTTTATTTCTTACATATGAATTACATTTTTGGTGAGAAATATATGTTTAAACTCCAAATAACATATGAAAGAATGCAAAGCAAGGGGGATGTAAAAATGAGACCAGTTTTAACATTCTATCAGCATTAAATATATATTTTAACACAAATGTATAAAAAATAAAAGCAGATTTCACAGCACCAGAGAGCTCTTCGGCAATTCCCACCAAGTAAATTCATATTTCTTTCACATTCATTTGTTCTTTCAAAATGCTTCAGCAAACGTATACAGTATACAAAGCATGGTGGCAATGACTGGAGTTTTTAAAAAGTTGATTATGGATATGATACTTTCCTTCAAGAAGCTCTTAGTCTTCATTCAAGAAAGACAAGTATGCATATATGCAGACACAAAATTTAATAATGTGATAAAGTTTTAAGTGCTTCAGAATTAGAACACTAATTATGTGGATACTAATGCTTCACACAAAGGAGATAACAGATAAATTGAACCTTGAGAACTGAATAGAATCTTGCTCCTTTGCCTGGGTTTGACCGTGTAGATACTCCAGGCAAGAGGGAACAATATAAGCAAATGAAGACAGACAAGGAAGTGAATTTCGGGTGTTAATGGTAAATAATCCATGGTAAAGAATTGTGAGAAGAAATGCAAAGAAATAAGAGCTAGAAAATGGAAAATGCTTTGAATTTCATTAAAGGAAATTAGATGCAATCTTATTAATATTTTAACTGGTAAATTAAAATTTGCTAATGATTAGAGCAATTATATATTCTGCTGCCTGTAAGAGAAGTTTAGATGTGTCTCCTTTCCTCTCCTCAGGTCCGTCTTTAACAAAAAGGAATTGATATGATTAAACGATCATAATACATGGATGTAGCTGTCTTCTCCTCTCTTCCTTCCATGGAGACAGAGTGGGATAAGATCAAAGATATGTATTTGAGCATTAGGGGAGTGAAACAGATAGGTCATACAGTTTGCTGTGATCTAGAAGTATGCATTTAGCCGTAACTAGCTTTGAAAACGGGTATTCCGCACTGCTTAGTCAAGTCTACTAGAGATTTCTGTATTCGTGTTTTGTAAGGAAAGGAAAGACAGAGAGGATTTCCATGTGGAATTCACACAACAGTGAAGAGAAAGAGAAAAAAATTAGCTGAACGTGGTGGCACATGCCTGTAGTCCTTAGCTACTCAGTAGGCTAAGGCAGAAGGATAACTTGAGCCCAGGTATTCGAGGCTGCAATGAGTCATGATCATACCACTGCACTCCAGCCTGGGCAAAATAGCAAGATCTGGTCTTTTAAAAAGCAGTAATAACAGAATTAATAATAACAAAATTCTATTTGCAATAGCATTCAAAAGAATAAAGTACTTAAGGATAAATTTAACCAACGAGGTGAAAGACTTGTACACTGGAAACTACAAAATATTGCTAATAAAAATTAAAGAAGACTTAAATAAATGAAAAGACATCCAGTATTCTGGATTGGAAGAAGACTTAATATTGTTAATATGACAATATTACCCAAAGCAATCCACAGATTCAAAGCAATCCCTATCAAAATTACAATGGCATTACAGAAATAGAAAAATTCATCCTAAAATTCATATGGAGAGAGAGAAAAGACAACCCATAGAATGGGAAAAGTATTTGCAAATCATGTATCTACTAAGGAATTAATACCAGAATATATAAAGAACTCCTACAAGTCAACGACAAAAAACCCCAATTCAAAAATGGGCAAAAGTTTTAATAAACATTTCTCCAAAGAAGATAAATAAAAATGAAAAAAGAATGAGTTTATGTCCTTTGCAGGGACATGGATGAAGCTGGAAGCCATCAGTCTCAACAAACTAACACAGGAACAGAAAACCAAATACCACATGTTCTCACTCATAAGTGGGAGATGAACAATGAGATCACATGGACACAGGGAGGGGAACAACACACACCAGGGCCTGTCAGGGGGTGGGGTCCAAGGGGAAGGAAAGCATTAGATAAATAACTAATGTGTTGCTTAAAACACAGATGATGGGTTGATGGGTGTAGCAAACCACCATGGCACATGTATACCTATGTAACATACCTGCATGTTCTGCACATGTATCCCAGAACTTAAAGTAAAATAATATATACATGTGGTGAAGATATTAAAAACTGGCCAATACACATATGAAAAGATACTCAACATCACTAATCATTAGGGAAGTGCAAACCAAAATCACAATGAGATACCACTTCACAACCTCTACAATAGTTGTAATTTTTAAATTAATTAAATAAAACAAAAAATAACAAGTGATGAGGATGTGGAGAAACTGGAACCCTCACACATTGTTAGAGGGGATATAAAATGTTACAGCTGCTTTGTAAAACACTTGGGTAGTTCCTCAAAAAGCTAAACATAGATTTACCAACATATCCCAGCAATTCCATTCCTATGTACCCAAAAGAATCAAAAGAGATTCAAACAGATTATCTGTACAATTATGTTCATGGCAGCATTATTCACAGTAGCCAAAAGGTAGAAATTATCCAAATGTCCATCAAGAGATGAAGAGATAAACAAAATTTCCCTCCCCTTGGACCCCACCCCCTGACAGGCCCTGGTGTGTGTTGTTCCCCTCCCTGTGTCCACGTGTTCTCATTGTTCATCTACCACTTATGAGTGAGAACATGTGGTATTTGGTTTGTGTAGCTCACAAACACACACACACAACAGTATGTTAAGCAGCTTTAAAATGAAGTTACGGTATGATACATGCCATAATGTGGATGAATCTTGAAAACATGTTAAGTAAAATAAGCCAGGCATTAAAAGGCAAATATATTATTTCACTTATATGAAATATCTAGAATAGGCAAATTCATAGAGACAGAAAGTAGATTAGAGGTTACTAAAGGCTGGGGGACAGGAGAATGAAAAGTCAGGGCTTAATGGTTACAGAATTTCTTTGGATAATGAAAACGTTTTAGAGACAGATAGTGATGGTCATTACATAACATTATAAATATAAATTAATGCCACTGAATTGTACATGTAAAAGTGGTCAAAATGGCAAATTTTGTTATTTTACACAATTTTTAAAAATTAGTAAGATATCAAAACCACTGAATTGTACACTTCAAACAGGTGAATTGTTTGGTATGTCAATCACGTCAGTAAAGCTGTTTTAAAACAAAATAGGAAGATGCTGGGCACAGTGGCTCATGCCTGTAATCCCAACACTGTAAGAAGCCAAGGCAGGTGAATCACCTGAGGTCAGAAGTTTGAGACCCGCCTGGTCAACATAGTAAAACCCTGTCTCTACTAAAAATACAAAAATTAGCTGGGCGTGGTAGTGCGTGCCTGTAATCCCAGCTACTTGGGAGGCTGAGGTAGGAGAATCACTAGAACCCGGGAGGTGGAGGTTGCAGTGAGCCAAGATTATGCCACTGCACTCCAGCCTGGGCAATAGAGTGAGACTCTGTTTCAAATTAAAGAAGGAAGAAACCCTTTTTAAAAATTACACACAACTTTGACAAGGTGGGTGAAACCTTTTTTTAAAAAATTACACACAAGTTTGACAAGGTAGGTGATACATACAGGCCTATTAGAACTAAAAATGGGGCCAGGCGTGGTTATTCATACCTGTAATCCCAACACTTTGGGAGGCCAAAGCAGGTGGATTGTTTGAGTTCAGGAATTCAAGACCAGCCTGAGCAACATGGCAAAACTCCGTCTCTACAAAAATACAAATATAAAAATGGGCCAGACACGGTGGCTTGTGCCTACAGTCCCAGCTACTTAGGAGACTGAAATGGGAGGCCACTTTAGCCTGGGAGATGAAGGCTGCAGTAAGCCTAGATGGCGCCACTACACTCCAACCTGGGCAACAGAGTGAAACCCTGTCACAAAAAAAAAAAAAAAAAAAAAAAGAACTAAAAATGGGAGCCTGACTATCCCCCCTAAATAATTATAACACCAACCTTCTATACTTAAAAGAAGCTTTGATTTCTACTATATCACAAAATCACAAAACAAAGGTATCCTTAAACCGAAACCTAGTTCCCCTACTCAGGCTAAATCAGAAATTCAGGAAAAGTGTGCTGTAGAGCTGACATTTCAGGTAAATTATACCTACTAATTATCCTAATTTGGGGTAGATATGAACATGGAACAATAAATATTAAAAAATATTAAGTGTCTATAGAGGGGTATATAGTTATCTTGTCATATGATGATACCCTAAGTAGTATGAAGAAAATGAACCAAAACAATGCTAAGGGTTATAAAAATCATTACTGAGTACTGCGTTCGTAATGTCTGAGATAGTTTAAAAGATGCCTTAATAAGTTACAGCTGAGAGTTCAGAAATTCAATGACAGAACCAAAAGAATCATGTATCAATTACCTGAATATTTCTTATTTCTATGCTGCATTTGGAAAAAAAAAACTGATTATACATTCAACTTATTCCCGAAAAAAGTTCATTAGCAATATTTAACAAAGTGCTTTTATACAAAGATATATTCTAAAAAATTATATCCACCAAAACGTCCATTTCAAGCACAATGTATGATTAAAATAATTTTGAATATAAAAGACAAATTGCAAAAGACTTTATATTCATTACAACAATTGAAAAAGATAATAATAATCACTACACTACTGCCCTTGACAAAAATCAAGGACATATAAGGGACCAATCAGATCTGTTGTACTGGTAGATAAATGATATGCTATTCTGAATATGCTATCAGTGTTATTTCACAAAGTACTACATCATCTCATGATAACAATACCTTTACTTTCTTCAGTGCTGTACACTTAAATG